AATATATTAGCTTAAAGCTTGCAAATGAACGTTAATGGCTTTAGGCCATCACTCTCAATGTTCTTTCATACAATTTCTGGATACCTCCCTACTTCTGATTTCTACTACTTATACTACTACTACAATAGCTATTACAAATGGACAAATGCCTTAATTGCTAATTTACTAATATTTGTCTCTAGCGAAAGTTACCATAGTAAAATAGGCCGACAACTCTGCTCTCAAAGGGCCGTTGCTTGTGTTGGGGTTGGTAGGGTGTCCTGCCCTTGCTGCTGCTTTTGTCTTCTTCAGTATACGACAGTGACAGGAGGAGGTGGCTGGTGTATTGCACTCTGCATCACAGAGCTTTCCTCCCTTTCTTCTCTTCTTTCTCTGCATCACAGGGCTTTTGATTCGCCTGAAGATTAATCATCCCTTCTTTCTATATTTTCTCTGCATCACAGGTCTTTTGATTCGCTTGAAGATGCATCATCATCGCCAATTTGCCAAATAATCTATTACCTGCCACTGCTTTATGCACTAGCTGAAATTATTCTTCAGATTTCGTTTATTTCTTAGTCTTAACAATTTGTTTTCTTTCTTCTGATCCTCAAGTCCAAAATCATTGATTTATACAACAACAAAAACAACATAGCCTTATTCCCATAATCATAGATTTATATATTAAAAATAAATCACAGATCTAAAATATATCTTTTGCTGTGATTTTGAGGACTGGTTAGATACTGTATTTTTGTAGAATTTAATACTTTAATGATTGCAGCTAATATGTTAGGCAAAATGCCAGAATCATTTTTGTAGATACTGTATTCTTGGTCCTCACATGGAACTTTATTTAAACTGCCTTTGCAACAGCATACCTTGACTATTCAAAGACAATAAAATCGGTTCTCTTACAGTTCAATTATAGGTGAAAAAGCCCCACTTCTATTTATAATAAAAAAGGGCTTCTTCCACCTCATAAAAGACTTTCTGTCATTGATTGTGGTATTCTCACTGATAAAGATGACCTACACAGAACTCTTAACTGCCTTTGGAAAGTCATACCTTGACTGTTCGAAGACAATGGTATTGGTTCTCTTACAGTTTAATTAGAGAATAGGGTTTCTTCCACCTCATTAAAGACTTTATGTTAGTGATTGTGATATTCACTGATAAAATGGCTGCTAGATTGAGAGTGTGGGCCTCAAGGCACCTTTCTTCAATTCTTCTGCTAGAAGATTGGTTCTTGTTAACTCGGTGCTCATGTCTCTTAATAGAACCAACGTTTATTGAGAAGCACAATATTCAGATCGATCGTAACTTATTCATAGTCTTACTAGAAAAATAAAAACCATGTGGCATATCATTATTGCATTAGTAGTTCGAGTAAGTAGTTATAGAAGTACTCCTTTTAAACCACACAAAATAAATGCTTGGGTCTTTAGTCACAATCATTATTGGAAGAAAGCTTGAAGCTTGTTTAATTTGCAATTATGTCAATAAATTTTCTAAAAAAGGGGTGATTAAGTTGGTATATAGGGAGAGTATAGATTAGCATATAATATAGTGATTAAACAACAAACTAATGACAAGGCCTCTAATGAGCACAAAACAAAGGGCAAATAAAGGTGTAAGCAAGTGAGGCCACCCCAATTAATCTCCATGATAATTAAACAAGTCTTTTGTTTATCACAGAGATAAACTAGTATATTCTCTAAATAATTTATTAAATTTAAAGCTTCAAAATATTTTTTTCTAAGAAATCAACTATCATTGCAATTTAATCAATCTAAAGTTCTTAACCACTTATTTAAAAGAAAAACCAAAACCTTACATTAATAATAACTCCTGAATATCAAAATTGACAAGATGGTCCATTGTATTGACTATTGATTTTCCTATGACAAATTTATCCTAACCAACCAAGCAAGCCATACACTTGCTACATACCGAAGTTAGTTAAGGAACTGAGTAAACAGGACCATAAGTTTAGGCATCATATTCAGGCTCATTAAGCCTCTCTAGGCTAACATATGGTATGTCATCCTCCCTCTTCCTCTGATGAAACATGTTAGTGAGCGGCCCGGAGAACGCAAGCTGGGGCCAGTATCCGGCACCAATGGCGGACACATTGCCACATTGCTTAGGAGTTTCCTTGGCCTGCTTCTTAGCCTTCTTGATTGATGATAATTTCCAAAATGAAAGTAAGGCAGTTTTCCATGACTTCTTGCCACCCATTTTCATTCCACTTGAACTCCCTCGTTTTTTGCCACTTTTTTCTTCTATTGCTTGCTTCTGTTTCTTCTCTTTAGCATATTTCTTAGCCTCTTCCAAAACCTGCTCAGATAAACACAAAACAAATGAAAACTTTGGCAAATAAATTTAACAAGTCCGCCACCCTTTGCCCTTGTGTATGTATAAATAGAGAGGTCACTTTTGTCACACTTTCTATTTGACAAAAAAATTTAACAAGTCCAGCACCCAGGATTTGAAATTCCTGGCTTCGCCCTTGTGTATGTTTTTTTTTTTTTTTTTTTTTTTTTGTATGTATGTATATAAGTAGAGAAGTCACTTTTGTCACAATTTCTATGATCAATATAAAAAAAATAAAACACGGATTAAATAATAAACAACTTTCACATTTGATTTCATGATTATATATTCATGCAAAGAATGTATCATGTGCTAATGCACGGGTTCAATCAAGCATAAGAGAATTGGATTGTTATTTTTCCTGACCTCTTTGAAATCCATTTTGGCATCATATTCACTGCTGTTCCTGCCATTGTTTGCAGTGTTGAAAGACTCAAAACCAGGGAAAATAGAGGAATCCTTCATTTTCTCTGCCTAAAAAGGGTTAAAAAAAAAAGCAAGATTAGTTTGATTTCTTGAAGTTTACCAAGGAAAATGAGATGTGTATAGAGTAAAAAGGACTAACCTTTGATGAACTTCTTAGTTTTTCTTGAGGTGTAACCCAATGTACTTAAGTTAGTATTAAGAAAAAGTCAATAAATAGAGTTGAGAAATTAAAAAAACAGAAGTAAATCTATATTTCCATGTTAAGAAAAAGAAAGATGATTTTCTACCAAGTTTATTATGTTTGTTCAAATTAGTAGAGTTTTTTATTTTAATTTTTTTTTATTACAGCTAATCAGCTATGTGCCACTTAATTGTAAGGACTGTTAAAGGTTATTTGGGAAGGTGAAGAGTGTAGCAATTGGCTAATTAACCCCACATTTTAAGGAATCCATCATATTAGGTAAATTATTATGGCCAGCCAACTCAGTCTTTGTTGAGGGAAAGGTTATAATATTGGAAACTTGGGATATTAACGATACTACAGATATTTGTACCATTTATAAAGATACGATCGTATCACTATATTATGGAAAGATATAAATAGTTTTCACACAACTTTTTATAAGAGAAACAAGCCCAATGTTTTATATTCGGCCCAAAGTTTGAAGCTCTCGGTTTTCACAATTGAGGCATATCATATTTTCATTGTATATTTACCGTAACTTAAATAAATTTCTTTTATAATTCAAGAAATACCATTAATTAGATAAAGCCAATTGTAAATGAATCACAAAATAAAGAAAAAAAGGGTTTATCACGACAATGAGAGGATTTGTCAACCTAATGTCTCATCCCTTTTCAGCCACTAGTCCCTCCCCCCCTCCCCCTCTTATCATATGGCCACATGAAATTCCTTTGACATTGAGACATATAGTTTGCAGATAATTGAAAATGGCACTTCTTTATTATTATTTGATCTCAACCATAAAATCATATTGATATAAATTGTTGTTGTTTATATGTAATTAATTTTTTTTTCATTTTTGATACGCGAGGATTGATAGGTCGTTAGCAATTATCTTAAGATTGAAATGTACGATTGTTTGATAAACTTAAGCTATTGTCTTAACGTGCAAAATGATGTTATTATTCTAGTTTCATAAGATATTATGTATGTTGTTTCAGACCTCAGTCAAACTCTTTAAGAAAATTGAATCATTACATAATGTATGTTGGTCTATGATTTGGAAAATACTATATATCTAAGTAGCTAACATATTAGTCGTAGTCCATTCAAATTGCCCATAGTCCATTATATTTTTGTCAATGATTGTACTAATTTGTTCTCATTTTGAAAAATACACTATTAAGGCCCTGTATACTTCACCTTATTTTTGCTGAACTGAAATTATGTTTGCTATAGTGAAATTTTATTTATTGATTTTCTATTATATTTTTTCTTTGAAGTTACTGAATTTTACTGAACTGAACTTATTTAAACTGAAAGGTGAAGTGAACAGGGCCCAAGTATTAAGTACCATTAGCAATTAGCAATTACTACGTGAACGAAAACTAATTTTATACTCCTAAGACATTGTATTTGGTACTACTTCTACATAATCTCTCCATGGGAGTTAGCACCTTGTTGCTTGCTTAGAGAAAGAGAGAGATCTTGGCATGTCAACAACCCTTGATAAGAAATACTCTCTTAATTTTAGAGTTTTATTTCAAAACCCATTTCCTTTGGTAAACAATTTTATCCAAAGGCCCAAAGTTGAGAAAGCAAGTTATATACTGGCTTATAAACTTAACTTTAACGAGCTCATAAAGGAATACGAACAAGCTGTTGACAAGCCTAAATAAGATGAATGATGGTTGTTACCGCTAGTTTTGTTTATTAAACGAGCCCAAAACTTTTGTTCAAGCTCATATATTTACCAAATGAACAACAGCCTTTGTTCAAGGTTTGACTGAGCTCTTTTGCAAGTTATTCATGAGTGTATATCCTTAGAGGTATCCACTGGGGTTCCATATCCTATTTCCCTCTGCTTTTCTGATGTACTGTTTTGAGATGTATGATTTTACTGTATTATTATTATTATTATTATTTTTATTTTATTTTATTTTATTTTTTATTTTTATTTATATTGTTTTTTGTAGTCTTGTAGAGCCTGATTCTGATTTCTGTTTTCTATATCGTTGATGCATTTGTATCGTAGGGGTTCAGAAGGCTTATCGAGGCTTATTGACAGAAAAAAGACTAGGATGCTCATTATTATCCTCATGTTAGCTAGCATAAAATGCTCGAGAGTTTGGAGACCCATGCCTTTCAAGGCTATTGAAGCATTGTATGCGTTTTATGTATTGTTAATGGTATCTGGGTTCATTACCCACTGTTGTATATTCTTGGCTTTGAAGGTTAGACAGTTTCTGAGATTAAGGTTAGAAAGTTCATGTTTAGCATATTACTCATTTTTTCCCCCTTGGTTCCTATATCCCCCTCCTTCCATTCTTTTTTTGTTTACAGATCGAGCTAGGTTTTTTTTTTTTTTTTTTTTTTTTTTTTTTTTTTTTTTTTTTTTCAATAGGATGAACAGGGTTTGGAGAGCATTTTATGAAAGCATTAACTTAAACAATGATGAGTTCCAACAAGGTTGTCACCTGAAACCGTAAGGATGATAATTTATACACATGCTCTACCCCATTAAACAGAGCTAGTCTAGCTGCAAAATGAGATACACAATTCCCAGCACTTCATATATGATTACGTGAAAGATATTGAAGCTCACAACCATGGCATATAATAATCAGATCGTAGGACTTCAAACAGATGGCTTGTACAATTGTACTACATTGATAGTGCACATTCCATCAAATGGACCGTATTCTCATATAGCCAAAGCATTCGCGATTAACACTACTTTTATAAACTTATGAATTGGTTTACAAAGATAATCAAGTTAAGTCATTGTATGATCATGTCAGGTTAATAAGTTCATCTATGTCTATTGGATACAGTCACATATCTCACATACATTCTATCAAGCTTTAATCATGCTTGAGTAGAGAAAGTCATTCTTAATCCAACTCAATTTCAGATTGACTCCATTTGTGGTGTATCCTAACCACTCTTCCATGACATTTTAATGAACAAATCCATTACTCCCCTCTGTTTTGATAATTGAAACATTTTTCTTTTACGTATGTTTCATAATAATTGCAACAATTCCTGATTTTATTACTCCCCTCTACTATTTTATTACTCTTACTAGATTGTCATGCACGGTAATTTCATTACTTTTAATTAGAAAGGTAATAATATTTTTTTAATAAAAATATCATGAAAAAAGTAATAATATATTTATTAACAGGACCCAACTTGACTAAGAAAAAAACCTAATAAATTATGGAAATTTTGATAAATTTATTGAATGAAGCTAATATTTTTTCGTAGCACGACATGACATGAAACGGACACGAAAAAGCGGATTTGTGTCTAGGGTTTCCAACTTGTTAACTAAACGGGTCAACCTGACACATCATGTTCATTATATAGGTTGGGTTAGTGTTGAATCTTCTCAATCCGTTTAACTTCAACATTATATTTCCTCCTTCTCAACCCATTTAACTTCAACACATCATGTTCATTATGTTGGGTTATGTAAAGTTATAAAAGTATATGGAAAAACAAAATTTACATGAAAAAGTTAATTTTACACAAATATTGTTGTAAATTGGAGGGAATTTTGGTAAAAATGTAATATTAATGGTACTTGAAAAAGCAAATGACACTATCATTTTGGAACTTAAAATTGACCATAAAGGACTATCAATAAGGGACAAAGGGAGTATAACATATATAGACCAAGGGTAATTATTGATCAAAGTTTTACAAGTTTGACCCAAATATTAGCATAGGGCAAAAATTTAAGAACGTAGTAGTACATTGTATTCTATTAGAAAATGCACAAAACATTTACAGAGCCCTCTATATGGACTTATGGTAATTATCTTCACCTGTATGTATCCTCACTTCCTCCTCCATGCTTAGAGAATAATCACAAGGTAATGAGCCAAGAAATTTGCTTCTCGAGGCACATAGCTGAACCTAAAGTTGCAATCTCTCGAGGAATTCCCCTATATCAGCAAGTATAGCAGCTAGTTCATTGTTCCTCGTTTTCACACGTCCTCCAGAGTGCTGTTCAGAGAGGCGAGAGAGCTTGTACCCATTTCTAATAATGATGTTCTACAACACCGAGTCAAGTAGCTAACACCACTCCACCTCTAATAGCCATTACTTGAGCTTCAGCTGGGTTTCTTGTCTTGATCTCTGCCCAGAAACCAAGTTCCATCCTCAGCTCCCTTCGAAAAACCCCAAGTTCAAGTTCTGACCAGTGATCATAATCATGGATTGCCACTTTTTAGTAAACTTCACACTGTAGCATTGAATCGGCTCATGACTGTCATACCCACATCGCTGAAGATACACAATTGGCCATTTACTAATGCCCTTTTTTAACCTTTGCCCAATATATCATTGAACTTCACAATTTGCATATCAGAGTAAGCTTATGATGATAACCTCCTTCCATTAACACACAAACTAATGAAAGCATGTATCCCTATGTCTGGAGACGAACAAACAATAACTAAGTGCTAATTCAGCAAAACAGATAACCATGAATAAAAGTACTGATCCTACAATTGGCAGAGGTGAGGCATTTGCAGTATCTAAATAGGTTATCCGAATTGACACCTCTAGTTCCAAACGGTTACACAACATGACAACACTCATTATATATTGTGATCAGACATTTTGATAACCTTATTATAGACTTTATCAAACTTGAAAGACGTGAATCACACACCTCAAAATCATCTCCAAATCTCATCTCTTGTAGGGTTGAAGGTGATAATCTTCAAACTCGGACCCAAATGATATGGACTCTTCGTTGAGTTTCTTCTTCAACCTCCTCTAAGTTCTCAACTTATCAGCTTGTATCTAAAGCATCTCAAAGGTGATCTTCTGAGGAAGAAATCCTTTCTCAATCATCTGCACGAAATATTCACAAGCCTCCCTCTATTTCTCTTTCTCGACCAAACCATGAATTAATACAATATACGAGTCTAAATCAGGTCCAGTCCCGGCTTCTTTCATATCATTCCATATCTCCTCAACGACCTCCATGTAATCCAACTTCACTAACATTTGCACGAGGATATTACACGTATGCAAGCTCGCAACACACACACCTTCTTTCTTCACCCTCCTATACAAATCCAAAGCCTTTTCGGCATTCTTTCTTCCTCTCAACTCCTTAAAGAAACAATCATAGGTTACAGCACTCGGTGTAACAACACCCTCAATCATCTCATTAAGCAGCCTCTCAGCATCATCAACCCTCCCACACGAGCTAAGACACTTAACAACCGACATATAAGTAGCCACACTCGGGCAAAAACTAACATGACCCATAACCAACCAAAAAAATCAAATTCAAATTTCGACTAGTACGAACATAGTAATCATGACTCACTTTGCATTATACGAAAGCCTATCAACAAGACATCAAAGCGAGACACAAGTGAAGAAAGAGGTTCCATGCAAAAGCGAGACACAAGTGAACAAAGAGGTTCCATGCAAAAGCTCAACAATAACTTCTTACGTGTTTAATAAAAAAAAAAAAAAAAAAAAACAAACAAAAAAAAAGCAGTAGAAATTAGGAGAACATTTACCCTACTTCTGAGTTCTGACAATAATCAAAAGTTCCTAACTCCATGTTTTAACAACACCAGTAGTTAATGAATAGTAATGAGTCAACTACCCCCCTATTTCAGCTAACAATCCATGGAATAGTAACAAAGTTAGCTGCAATTCCCGAGTCTATTACCATATCACAGCAGTGTAGCAGACTTGGTGGCTCTTTTACATTATCATTAACAAGTATAGTCATTAATTCATTATACTCCTTTCAGTTCATACATATACTTAAGAAACCAAATTATGCGATTCAGAAACACCATGTTCATCAAGAACAAAATAAATTTAATTACGAAATTAAAATTCTTTCCTAATCCATTGAAATGCATCAATTAATAAAAGAAGGGAACAATTCGTAAAAATCAAATATCGATCCGTCATGATAAAGTTGCAAAATAAACAATCAATTCCATTATCCTGATTTAAACAGCAACATGAATCAAGGGAAAAAAAAAAATTAAATCCAAGCAAACAAAATTCGAATTCCATCATGACTATCACAAAAATCAATTCACCTATAATACTCACTAAAATCATATTAAAGCTGCAAGGGCAACAATTTAGATTGAAGAGCATCATATTAATTTCTGACCAAAAATAAGATTATTTAAAGGTAACTCTCACTTTACCAGGAATAAGATTATTCAACGGTAACTCTGGCACTAGTTGATGATGCCTTTCCAATCAACGAATTCAAAATTAATATACGTTTTTTAAGATTGAACTCTCCCCTAGCGATATTCCAATTCCAAGATTCCTAGCCATAATAAACTTTTGAAGATTTGGTAATCATCATACAATCTAACATGAAAACACTTTGCAACAAGTAGATAGCAACTGGTATCCACTCTAATTTGAAATTAGCTGGCTTAACCTCCTTTAGATTCTTGTGGACATATGGAATCGGAAGTTCACAGCTCTGACGGACAGGAGAATTTGGGAACTACAACAAACAAAACAGTCTAAATGTCAAAATATAACAAAAAGATTACCAGTCAAAATTACACCATGAATAGTTCAAAACTAAATTTGTCAATCTATTTTATAAAATCATAAATTTAAATAAATGAAATATAAAGGAAGTTTGCCATATTTACCCTCATCTCAAGCTTTTCCAAAAGCGGAAAGGATTTAAGAAGGCACGGGAGAGCCGACACTATACTGCCATCATCATCCACACTGGAGATGTATAGTTTCAAAACTGTATGAAATGTTTTGTGTGGGCTGAACGGTAATTTATTAACCTGAATAAGAAGAAATTCTAGTAAATCAGACAACTATAAAACTAGATATCACAAAAATATACAACAAGATGAATCCAACAACACTTAACCATATAATCTCTTATAGATTAACGGATAATCATGGTCAAAGTTTGACTTAAATATTAGCAATGGGACAAACAAATAGGAACAAAAGGAGTACATATTAGCCAACACAAGCATATATTCATAGATTCCACCACGCACCAGAGGTTCCTCTCCTCGGAGGATCAGATATTTAATTTGGGCCTCAGCTGCAAGACATTTTAACATATCTTTTGCTCCAGCAGATTCCAGACATATATACACACTTTCCAAATTTGATACATTTTTATAAGAGCACTTCAAAGGTTCTTCTTGATAAATCTCTAATTTCTTCAGATTCTTGGCACTAAGTTCAAATTCTTGCAAACTTGGACATTCTCCAATTGAGAAAGAGCGCAAGCGAGGGAAATTATCTTACACATTCTCAACCGTAAACATTCAATGGTTGAACAACTAGATAAGAAGTCCAGCCACTGAATGCCCATCCCCTCTAGAGTAACGTTAGTTAGATGAAGTGTTGTTAAGTTTGTTGATAGAATAAAATCATTCTCAAGCTTCAGGATGCAGGAATCTAAACGCAGATCTCGTAAATAAGAAAATTGGGAAAGAAAGGAACCGCTGATAAGATGCAACCCTTTACAATGGGACTGGAAATAAGTTCTCCACCTATCTACACAAATAAATTGTAGGGTGAGACTCTGTAGACCCTTATTTGCAGCAGCAAAGTTGATCCAGCGATCAACATCATCGGCATAACTGTTATCAAGGCAACACGCAACAGTAAAAGATAAGATCTTCTGACCCCTGTAGTTCTGCAGCACCTGATCCACACTTTTTACATATGCCTGCTTATAAGAAAGTTGATCACACTTACTGCCATGAGACTTCCATGGACTACCAGACAATACAAACCAATCCAAGTCAAGGGATGGAATGGTCAAGCACAAGTTTCTCCATCTTCTTGATAGCATAGCCATTCTTGTAACATCACGCAATGACATATATGACAGAATATCTACCAAAACCACATCAGGAAGCTCACTGAGACTATCTTTGACATTTTTATTCAGATTGTCAACCAAGTTTTCGTTGGAATCATCATCATCAACAACAACCTGCATTGGACGTCGTACATACGTAGCATCTCTATTAGAGTGGTGAATGTAAAAACACATTCACCTGATTATCATGGAAATAACTTGTATGCTTGCATTTGCTTTTATGGCTTAAAATTATGGAAATGTAACAAAATAAATTACCTTGCAAGAGTGTATTCGATTGCTAGCACGATAAATCCTCCATATTCCATAGAGTGCAGCAACTGTAGCTACAAGCCTACAAGGAAGGTGATATCAAGATTAAACCTTAAACAAAAACATAAATAAAAATAGCGCGTTTTTCTGTGGTAAATAAATAAAGTAACCCCTAGAATACTTACTAGTATAATATTGATGGAGTAACCTAAATCATCGACCGAGTAACCTTTATAACATCATACCTATACAGTTTAATGAAATTCATGGAACATTTGAAATTTAGGCATTATCATCACCCTTATAAAATTATCGCGGTGGTGGGTGGTGACCGAGGGAATGGAAATTGACATGTTAGCAGTATTTTCCAGCAACCAGAAAAGGAGTTCGTGAGAAAAAAGGAAATTGAGAAATGAGGATTTTTGGCATTTTCGGTGGAATGATAAGAAGGAAGATAAACAAAAGAAATAAAGGACAAAAATACGAAAGGTCAAATACCTAAATGCATCAAAATTAATTTTAATTGGGGGTAAATATGTCAATTAACTTTTTTAAGGGTATTATAGTCTTGACACTATTCATAAGAGTATTTTCCCACTTTTTATAAGGTAGGGATATAACTTAACCTAGTGTCAACTTTTTTTTAAGGGGAAGATATGAGCAATGATAGACCACTATCAGGTATGGGCTAGTTGGGCCCATACCGGGGGCATAAATGTAATTTCACTTTTTACTTTTTCTATATTGTAAAAATGTAGTCTCTCTATTCTCAATAACAGTATTCAACACTATAATAACAGTATACAAATCAATAATAACAAAATACAAACCAATAATAGTTGTATAGAGTTTAATAATAACTGAGCACCGACAAACAATTACCGCCGTCAATTTCGACCGAACTCAAACGATTTCCAACATAGAACTCACCGTTTTTAACGGCTCGCTAGAGCCATAAGTTTGTGTCTCTCGTTTTTGGGTTATGTTTTCTGGATGGTTTTCGGTAATTTTTAACGGAGGTAGTTGAGTGTTTTTGGATTTCGACCAAGGTAGTAGCTGGTGGGGTGGGTTTCTTGCTGTCGGAGGTGAAGGTGTGGTGGGCGGAGGTTTGGCTGACAATGGGAGCTATCCATGGAGATGGAGAAAGGGTTTTAAGGGAGGAAGAAGATGAAGAGAAAAGGGAAAAGAAAAAAAAAAAGGAAAATTAAAAAAAATTATATTGTGGTGTTGGGTAGAAGGACCCATACCTGATATTGGGTAATACTTACTCAGGAAGATATAACTTAACTTGTCTGTCAAAACAGAAAAAAAAAAATGCATATATTCTCCGTACTTCATAGAACTTAGCATGAGTTCAGTTTAGTTTCGGAATACTTAGTTACTTACTCTTTTTTTTTAGAACAGCCCAAAGGCGTTCCGGAGGAGTACTTTCTAGTTTAACTTTTTATTTTATTTTATTTTTTTTACTTTTACTACACTGGTAATCCTGACTCAGATCCGTTGACCTGAAATTGACTAAAAAATATTGACCCGAAAATGACCCAAAACCCGAAATTGACCCGACCCGACCCGACCCGAAAATGGAGTTGACCTGATCCTGACCCGACACCCGAACTGACCCGGCCCAAAGTTGACCCAACCCGAAATTGACCCAAAGTGTTTGACCCGAATAGACCAGATACCCAAAATTGACCCGAACAGACCTGATATTGACCCAGACAGACCCAATACCTGAAATGCCCCAAATAAAAACTACCTTAAAATTGAACAAAAAATGTCTTGTACCAAAAATAACTAAAATTGTTTATTTTCAACCGTAGCTAAGCTCATAAACTGAAATATACTCTCTATAAAATTATTGATTTGAGATTGATCCACAAATGAAACAACCCGAACATGACCCGAATGTGACCCGAATATTCTTAACCCAAAATTGACCCAACCCAAACATACCCAACCCAAAAATTGACCCGACCCGGACTCGACCCGATATCTGACCCGAAGTTAACATGAATCGACCCGACCCGACCCATACTCAACCCGAATGTTAGCTGATCCGACCCAGACCCGACCCGAATGACCCATTTGCCAGGTCTAACTTTTACCACCTAAAAAATCGGAAAAAAAAAAATTACCACTAAGGCTTTATTTGGTAAATGGCTTTTGACTGGCTTTGGCTTTTTCTTTTGGTCAAACAGCTAAAATACATATTTGGTAAATGGCTTTTTAGCAAGCTAAAAAGCCGGCTTTTCCGCCAAAAACAAAAAGCTAGTCTTACTAGCTTTTTGGTTTTGGCTTTTCATCAAATAATTGATAATTATAAAGCTAAACTTTTAGCCAGGCAATGAGGCAGTGACACTTAGCATTCTAACTTCTCGCCAAGTGTCGCGCCACGTTAGATATATTTAAATAGATTTCATAAGATAAAAAAGTTTGTTTAAAATTCTATTTGGATAGAAAAAATTGTTAGTTTAGAGTTTTATTTTCGATAAAATACCAAATTTACAAATTGAATTATAATTTTATTCAAAAAAATTATTAGATTATAACTTTCAAAAATTATCAAATAAATTTATTTATTATATTATACAAGTAATATTTATTGGAGTGAATGAAGGAAGTAGTTCAAAGAGTAAAACATCCATTTATAATATATACTAATTTGTTAAAATAATATACTTCACAATCTAATAGAATTTTATTTATATGTAGACCTGTCAATTAGGGTCGGGTAATGAGTGATCTCGGATTGGGTCACTTCAGGTTACGAGTCAAGAAATGTTTAACCCTTGACCAAAGTTTTGGGTTCGGATCAATCCAACAGGCTTTGAATATTTACTTTATTTAATTTATTTTTTGCTATTTTTTTTTAATTTTTAATGTATTAAATCGAACATTTCCACCAACATTATTTATTTTTGTAATGTATTAAATCGAATATTTCCACCAACAGTATTTATTTTTTTAATGTATTAAATCGAACATTTGCACCAACAGTATTATTAGTCATTAAATGCATGCTTACTAGATAGCAAATTGTCACAAAAGAACATCAATTCCTAACTAATTTTGTATCAATGATATATTTTAAACTTGACAAATAGATTAAAATTTAATCTTAAAATTCAATAAACAACCCAGGCATCGCACGGGGCACACACACACACACACACACACACACACACACACACACATAACCTGTTTTATTTTCACACTTGTCAATGTAGAACTTGAACGGTCAATAATTTTAATTCTCCAAGATTAAAAGTTATAAAAGTTATATATTGTGATAGTATTTATTGAGACAAATCTAAAAAGATCTTACATGAATTTTTTTTGCTTTATTATAATTAAGAAAATATGGCAAAAAAAAGGGAAGGTAAATAGTGTAAAAGTCTAAACGACTTTAGTAAAAAATAAAGGAGGTAGTAGAATTTATGGTGGAACTAGTTTTTTCCCCTTGCAAATGCACAGATTAATAATAATAATAATAAGACTTGAAAAATAATAAAAGTCAATTAAAATGAAAAATAAATAAAAGTTTTGGGCGGACAAATTTTTATTGTAAATGCAACACGTATATTTTGGGAATAACTATGGTGATTACCTTAGTATATAGTATAGATAGTGTTGAAATTGAAAAGAAAAACCAAAAAAAAAAAAATATGAGGGCTTGAACAACACACCTATTGGCTCACAAAATTGATACTTTTTTTTTTTTTTTTTTTTTTTTTTTTTTTTTTTTTTTGTAAAAAGGTAAGTAGAAAT